ATGGGGTCTTTGCCTTGAAAATGACCTTACGGTACATGATACCGTAAGGTCATTTTCAAGGCAAAGACCCCATATAAGTTAACTTGAAGGTGACATCCGAGCATATTTTTTCAGTTATTGCATCATTTGTAATGAACTGGTACAGGGAGAACCCCAGGTGATATTTTCGACTGAAGTAGAAAATATTGCTGCAAAAACCATGTAAGAATAATATACTAATCTCAAAAGAACTGTGCGGATTATCTTCTGGCTAACATATGGATATTGTTGTTCTATTCAATAACTTTCCATTTTTCTATCACTTGTATATTTATAAAACTCATACGATAATATACATGACTTTATTGTATAGTTATTTTAATTGGTCAATATTAACTGCTATATGCACATTAACATCATGCTCATTCCCAGCAAGATGATTCTTTCAGTTGAATATTCATTGGAATTACTGGAGTATTAGAAAATCTGAAGTCCCACACCAACGATTACTCACCTTTATGCACGAATTCTAATGTCATTGCTATTTCCCTCATATCTCTCTCAATTACCTCGGCCCAATTTTGTACATCACCCAATTCCTTTACATAAAAATGATAAAATATGAATATAAATGTGAATATAAGAAGGATCTTTAAGGCATGAAATAAGGGTAAAAAATTCGAACCTTCAAAGCAGAATTAAATCCGTCTAACATATTCAACCATTGTTTTGTTTGTTTCGTGAATTTTGCAGATTGCACGGAAAGACGACGAGCTTCAGCTTCAATTTCGCGTTGAGTTTTAAATATTGAAGTGACTCTGAAAAATAAGTATGAATTGTTAAATAAGTCTGAATAAATTTACTGCTTATAATATGACATGTAAAAAACCAAAAGAATTTTAAACATTGACGATCCCATGTACCTTTCATTTAATGTATCTGCCAAGCAATCGGTTAATTCACCTACAGCCTGTGTAGCTTCTTTTCTAAGTTGTTCTATAAGGTTAAAACTTTAATGTTAAACTTTCGTAGTGACTTTTAAATACATTTATAATATAAATAATATGCACACCATTATTACGTCTTATAGCTTGTTGTTTTTGATTATGTTCTCTTACTAGCCGGGCGAGCATAACAGGTTTAAAAACTAAAGTTAATTCTTAGGACTTTCGTCTGATTGGCTAATATAAATCAATTGCGGGTCCCGCAACAAATTTTGATTGGCTGTACTATGTAACGGTTTCTTGGCAACTATCTGATTATTAATAAATTTTTTTTTATTTTAATTCTACAAGCATGTAAAATTGAAATAAAAAATTTATTGAATTTGACCTGGTAGTTATTGAGAAAACCTCAATTAAAGAATCATAATCAATTTTATAAAATCGATTCCCGACGCGTAACGGCGATAATAGGGGTAACACGATGCTATAATTTTGCAAGATGGTGCCAGAAAAAATGATTCGATACAGACAGAGATTCTAATATCGATGCATCATAAAATAAACAAATTTACTAGTTGAATGATCATTCAGTTTTTATATGGATTATTATTGAAATCGTTCTTTAATACAGACCTTTTTGTAATGCACAATCACAGTTTAGAAAATTTAAAGGAATATATAATGTGAAAATCTGTAGGATAAGATTTTTAAATCGAAAAAATTAAGAGTTAGACCCGCAAAGAAAGGTATTTCCTTTATTCATTGGCGAAAATAATTCTTTTATAAAAATAAAGAACGCATAAAGTGTTAGATATGACTTAATGTTATATATATGTGTGTATGTGAAGATAGGTGTGATGTCTTCTGTTAATGCTGTAATGGGAAATGCTCTACTGTACTATCGCTATAAATACATTGTAAACAATTTATAACCATTAACATTACCGAATGGATGTCTTTTGAAAAGTCCAATAACCGTTTTCATATTGGATCTTTATTTTCATGCCCTTTTGTAAACTGTCAATGGTGTAGAAATGTAGTTCAATAGGAGCGAACTACTACAAAGATATACAGTATAGCTTATGAGAATACAGTATATCTCATCGGATGCTGAAGAAAATGCGTCACCGGTTCCATTACTTCCAAAACTATATATTCTATGGGAATCGTAAATTGGCTTTACCATAACGGAAATGGACCCGTAAGGATGAATTTAAAAAATATGGATCAAATAGTTAAAAGATTCTTTAATTGCAATGTTATTACAGACAAGTGAAAATACCAAGCATGTGAATATACGAAAGATCAATAATAAATTAGCAAAGATACTATTAGAAATTCTTTACAAAAACATCACTATTACTTCATCGTCATAGTCTTTGCTCAAATTAAATTAGCTTTGAAGAAATAATTGGAACTAGTTTATTTTTACTAACCGGTTTTAATAACTTACTGAAAAGTAAATTCCTATATGAGGTTCAAAAATTTTTTCGGGGTTTACACTGGTCGATTAATATGTTAATTTGGTAACTAAAATTTAATTTGAGGATCAAATGCTTGGATTTGGTGATGAGCTGATTATTTATTTTTTTCTTTAACGCACTATGGTGATTTGCACCTATCATATGGTTTATTATAAAAATTTTCAACACTGAATTTTCATGTTAGTATTTAGGGTTAGGGTTTTGGAAAGGCGTAGAGCATTTTTAGAAATTAATTTCACTAGTTTCACCAATTCAACACCAATTCACTAATATTGGTGAAATTATTTCATCACTCCAAGCATTTTTACTAAGAATATCTTGCATTGACTAATTATACATAGGTGTAAAACACCATAGGTGCGTTTTAGTAAAAGTCAAAAAAAAAAAAATTTACTTATTTCCGTTTCAAAAGTTGGACCGAATAAGAACTGGTTCAGTAACCATTTATGAACATTGGTTCATTTCACGGTCTGCTACCCGAAACTGGTCTTTTAAAACGGACCTATCTATGACCTATGACTCATTTATTAAAAGTTCTCCAGACCAATAATTTGATCATAGACATTTAATTTTCAAGGATTTAAAGTTTACCATATACATGGAAACGCATAACCAACTCCGAACCTGTTTTAGATGCATGCAAATACAATGGTTTTTTTTTACGAGGTAGTTCTGAATGGACGCATTGTACGTAAAGTCATTGTGAACATTTCATGTATCAGCGCAGTAACATCAAAGAAATAAATGCTTAATAATATAAATTAGCCAATGAAAGTTACGGGATCAACACACTGCCCAAAATTTATAAATAAATCGGAAGTTTGAGCATGTTTTACCGATTCACAAGTTAGTCCAGTTTGTTTTTTTTTCCCTGTGCGAAGTCACCACTTTCAATCCTCAGATTACGTCTTTTTCTACATTTTATACTTTTTGTGTCTCTATACTGTTTAACGGTTTAGTTTATCACAAAAAGTAGAAAAAAAGGGTCGAAATCAAATCCAAAAGGTAAAAAAAAAAAAAAAGGAACCTTGATTCATTTCTTGCACGTTTTAAACAGAGAGTAAAAGGTTTTAATAAAATAATAACTTTTAGAGAACGAACACTCCAAAAAGTTTTCGTATAACTCAACACTTTACCTTATTTTTCTTAATCTTTGAAATCAAGGTAAATATATTGAACCGGTTGGATGTAATATTTTTAATTATTAGTTTAAATGTATATAGTTATTAAAGTTGTCAATAGAAATTTGATTTAATAATAAAAAAATTTTTAAAAAAAATTTTTAATATTTTGTTTAAAGAAGAAAAAAAAAAAAAAAATGAAAAAAAAAGATTTACTTTTCTTTGATATTCAGTAATCATGAAAATTTATTATTACTCGTGTTTGTAATTTGGAATAGATGTCAAATATTCCTTTCCCACGTCTTCAACCCGCAGTAGAACAGGGGCCAAAGCAGATTTTACCAGATTTGAATATAAGATTAATCTGCCCAGATTGCAAAAAACCTACACCAAACATCATCGAGGAGTTTGCAAGTGGTGACCTTGTTTGTGGTGATTGCGGCCTTGTTCTCGGGGACCGAATTATCGATACTAGGTCCGAATGGAGAACTTTTGCTAACGATGAAGGAGACGATCCCTCACGTGTTGGTGCCGCGGCTGATCCACTTCTCGATGGTTCACAATTAGATACGATAATTTCTAGAAGAGATGGCGGATCTGGAACCGCTAGAGATCTCAACAAGGTTCATGGTCGCGCAAATGCAGTCAAAGGCGAAAAAAATCTTGTTCAAGCCTACAAAGAGATCGCCGCAATGGCTGATGCGATAGGTTTAACCCGATTGATTGCTGATATTGCTAAACAATTATACAAGAGAGTTGAAGAGGAAAAACTTTTGCGTGGTAAAAGTACTGAATCAATTATTGCAGCATGTATATTTATTGCATGTAGACAAGAAAATGTACCACGTACTTTTAAGGAAATTTGTGCCATTACTCGAGTCCCTAAAAAAGAAATCGGACGTTGTTTCAAGACTTTAATCCGTACCTTTGAAACTAATGTAACCACAATGACTTCGGAAGATTTGATGTCACGTTTTTGTTCGAGATTACATCTCCGTATGGAAATACAAAAAGCCGCACTTGATCTTACAATAACAACTAAATCTCTTGGCACCTTGGAAGGAAAATCTCCGGTATCTGTCGCTGCGGCGTGTATTTATATGGCCTCTTGTTTGTATAATCAGCCTCAATCAACAAAAGATGTCGCTCAGGTGACTGGTGTTTCCGAAGTAACCATCAAGAATTCATATAAATTACTTTTTGCAGTTCGTGAAAAGTTACTCAGTGAAAAGAAATATGGTGGTGGAATAGAAAATTTACCATCACCATGAACAATTTCATCCTAGGCTGAAAATGGGTGAATGCTATCACCTTCATCGGTGAATGAACAAACGGTGAACGGTGCTTTTTTTTTGATAATAATTCATTTCATAGACAAAAATAAAAAAAAAACATTTTATAATTGGACATTTTTCTTTTACTCCTAAATGAAACAATTTCGTTTGATTACGGTAGATTAGACATTCATATTCTATCCAAGAATTATTTTTGTACCTTCCCCTAAAAAACAAAAAAACAAAAAAAAACCTTTAGTATTATCTTAATATCCTACAGGTTATTATCATCGCGGTTGTATAAATATTTGCAAAGAAATCGTGATCATAAAAATTTAGAGGTTCTCAAATAAAGTACCAGACATTAGCGCTTCAAACATTTATGCTAATGACTGCTAATGACTACTAATAGTCTTATTGACTATTTCAACAAACCAATGTGATATAGTTATGGGTTGGATTTATAAATGTTAATTATTGTGATCGGTATGTGATCGATGCCGGTCGTTGGTCAACCTCAAAATTAATGGTCATTTCAGTAACTTTCAAGTATAACATTAAATGTCATAACGATAATATATTTTTTGAAAATATCAGGCGCAGAAAGACTTTTCCGAGCATGTGATATGTCACATATAATACCAGACTCTGTATATGGTAAAGTGAATGCAAATTTGTATTCGTTGTCCATACACGCGGTGTCGGCCGAATATTCCGAAATTTTCACCCTTTTCGTACCACAAGTTCAATTACTTTTGTATTTTAGTAATTATATACATATAGATGTAATTTATATTTTAATAGATTTTGTTACATAATTTGGTTTAATCAAGTTTTACATACTATAATAAATATTTAATTTTTAAAATTTTAATTTTACAATTAGTTGAGACTTTAAATTATTATTCTCGACGGTTAAGGGCTAAATTAGGGTCTAACCTGATTTAGAATTAAAAAATCGGAGAAATACAAACTCTTGATGAAACGTTTTGAATCATATGCTTATTGTGAACTATATATGGTAATATATATCTTAAGATTAGGTCATTTGGTCATGATATGACTTGATGATCTTTTAATACAGTAACATGACTATGACAAAAAAGTCATATGATATATAAAAGGTCATGTTCATAAGCAAGGTATTAAAAAACTAACTGATAAATTATAGTCATCGAACATGTTCCACAAGTTATTTAGCCATACTTTTAAGTAATTGGTTAGAATTTATAAGATAGTAGAGTTCAAATTTTGAAATAATTTATTTTATATACAGTATTTAAATAATACTACAGTATATCAAAGTCGTATACAGTAGAACATCCTGGACGTACTTTTAACATTGTTGGTTTTTAGAATATCTCCGAAGTGCTTTTGGCTAAATCATCTATAGTTTTGAACATTCGAATTGACTGTTTAATATTTAAACACAATTATAATAAATAAATAGCTCTAGTAATTTTTAATGCTACTATATACTGTATTTGTTAACCCATATTATGCTATATTACATTTATTAAAACTTAAAAAGGTTTATTTTAATTAATAATTATTAATTTGATTAATTCTTGTAATTACAGAATTAAAAATAAATATGGATACAACAGTATAGATGCGGACATTTGAAAAAGCCAAAGGTAGCTACCTCCACGTCACCTTCACGTCATATAAAATTCGAGTAGTTACGTCAATACGTCACAACCTACGTCATATCATATGTTCATTGATATTCTAATGTCTGCGACTCTATACAACGGATACTTAAAAAGTATATTTCTTGTAATTCTGGTAAAATCCACCAAAGTGCGATACAGTATATGCAGTATTATACTTTCATATTCTCTATTGCAACCAATAAAAGACAATTTTGCGTACTTAGCACATTTTAGATACTGTATAAGCTATAACAAACTACTGTATTATTAGTTAAAAAAGAATCTTAATATTACTTTTTTGAAAAATAATGATTTTAATAAAAATTATAAAATTTTTATTTAACTACTAAAGTATATGGGATCTAAATCATTTCTTAATAAATATTTTTATTTTAGTAGTTAGTTTGGCGAAAGTGATTTTTTTTTTAGTAAATGAAATTAATTTTTATAATTATATAAAATTTTTTATACAGTATTCAAAAAAAAAAAAAATCTGTATATAGCTATTATACTACAATATATACTAATATTTATTACAATTTGTCTTTGCTTTCCTGTATAATTTATAATTAATAATCAGGCACTACATAATTTTTTTTAATATTACAAAGTATAAGATTCTTTAACATTTTTAAACCATGTATAAAAATAGGTATGCCAAATTAATTTTATATACATCACAATTAGGTGCGATACGTTCACACTTATAGTTAGCTATATAACATCTTTTATGGTGCAAAGACCTTATCAAATTTGTTTCAATTTTCAAAATCTTCCAACTTAAAAATTTCAAAATCCCACTATTAACTTTGATATTTATAACAAGTTCTACAAAGTTATCGGCAGAGTTTTGAAATGAAAGAAAACTTGTCCAAATGTTGAGTTAAAAAATTTAAAATTTGAAATAATTGTTAAGGCACCTTAATCATTATAAATTTTGCAAGAAAAATTTTTGGTCGATACTAAGGGCAATTTCATATGCGAATTTTGTAATTTTAAAAAAAGCTGATTATATTTAATTGCAATATTACAATAATTTATTGGTATTTCATAATCTGTAATTGGTTTAAATCGTCTTTTATTTTGATCATTGTCAACACAGGTTGGGAGTGTGGTCGCGAAAAGTATACGGATCATTTGTTTTCTATAGGTCAATATCAGGATTATTGTCATAATTCGCTGTAAGTGGTGATAATGTTTGTAAACCATCTCTCAATGTGTCTGCATCATTAATTCCGGGTGAATTTGTCCGTGAAATAGGACTATCTGATTTCCATCTCATTCGGGCTGCAAATCCTTCTGTCTCATCACTATTATTGTTATTATTTAATTCATCATCTTTTTTATTAAATAGTCCAGCCCAATATTTGACATTCTTTTCATCAGGAAGTAATACACCATTATTACCCATATCTTCCTTATCTTCAGCTCCACCATCATATAAAGGGTTAAGAAATTCGTTTTTATTGGAATTGAAATAATCCCAAACAGAATATGTTTGAGTAGTGACTTTATAATCCATTCTTTCTTTTTCTGAATTGCATAAAAATGTTCCGAATTGACATGAATAACAATGATAATGCAATTCGATCAAAAATTTTTCATTAAATTCAAATCTTGTAGGAAATTGCGTTAAGAGTTGAAATACACAGTCCAAAAATTGTTGAAAAATTGGTGAAATTTCTCGAATATATGATTGATTATAGAATTTGCTTTGTACTGTATTGAAAGCTGTGTTTGCTGCATTTGTATTAACACTATTAATGAAATATTTTTCATCAGAAAGGTGACCAGAACGTTCAGTGAATTTATGACCAAAGGATATCCATTCTTTTTCTACCAGTACTTGAAATCCTCCGAAAGTACGATAGTATGGATCCAAGCAAAGTATAGAAATTGATGTCAATTGTGCGGTACGATCCCAACCATCAGAACAATGAATAAGTACATGGGAACTAGCGATATGTACATTTTTGATGATTACGAGAGAAGATTCTAATATAGTAGATATGTACTTAAGCCAATTGGATTTATCCAAATTTTGCTTTTTAATGAGTAAACCTTGAACGTCTGCAGTTTGTATTACTAATAAAAATTTTCAATGTATTCGAAAAAAATTTTATAAACAAATATATAAATATGTCCATATATACGTTTAAATATATATATACACATACCTTCTACTAATTTTGCTAAACTTTCTCTCATTACATGAATATTATCAATGCCCATAAATTTCCTTTCACAATTTTTATAGTTTTCCATGTTTTCTGATCCCGCACCTATTGCAGCGTTGGCCATAGCGTTAGCTGTAGGTCTAGCATCAACGATTAGGTTTGTCTGTGTTGAACCAAACACCGATGGTAAATTAGGAGTATTTGATCGAAAAATAGCCTCGATAAGTTTTTCATCTTGTATTGAACGATTTTTTTTGAGCCCAACCATTGGTTGGCTAGAGCGTGTTATGGATGCCTAATGAGATGAAAGATTCGTTGAAATTTATAATCATTATAAAAAATTAATTAAAAATATTTCGAAAGAATAACCTTATTTTGCCAATGCAAATAACTTAAAACTGGTATACGATTTTTACTTCTAAATTTTGAAGCATGATTCAAAACATTATCGCTAATTTTTGTTGGTACAACTAAAGTATGTGGATATGTTTCGCAAAACTAAGATTATGAAATGAACCGATATCAGACAAATTACAATTTCATAATTAATAAATTAAATTAAATTCATCGTACAGTATAATCTCGATTCACACTTGAAAACCTCCATGATGAATTCGGTATATCAACACCCATTCTACCATATTCTTGATATACATCATAGATAGACCAACCATCCGAAGATGAAAATTCTTTTTCAGGTTTATAATCAAAAGCATAGACCTGACTAATGGATTCTTTTCAAATAAATAAATAAATAAATAAACAAATTAATTAAAATTTTATCGTGAAAAATAACCTATATAAAAAAAGAATAATTAAATCATATACCGATACATGTTAACTTTTGTATTGTATCAAAAACATCTATCGAGTCTTGTTCGAGTAGTATGAAAAATGAGTAAATTTTAAAATCACGACACCGAATGATTAAAGGCCATAATTTAGAGTCCGTAGTGCACGAACGACGTTCAACAGTATGGATAATTGGATAAGGGATCTAAATTTCAATTATTTAGTATGTCAATTTCTTTAGATATGAATTTACTACTTGAATAAAATGCATTGTTATATAAAACCGTCAGTTTGATCTTATTTATAATAAGTTATGATCTTTATAGAGACACCTTTAAAAATATTCATCCAAAATATATTATAGTTTATAAAGAATGCATACCCATATTTCGTCTTTATGATCCGGTTGTATAAAAATTATTTGGTGCGTTGTCAAATGGAGAGTACCAACTGTAGTAACCTGTCCTTTTTCAAGAGTAACATTTTCAACCTATGTATAAGACACAACTATTTAAAATGAATTAAGCTCATAACATAAAGTAGAGACGTTTCGAGAATTTTTTCTCAAAAGCGAACCTTTGTGATCTTTAAAAAGTCCATGTTTCCATTGTTAGAATCGGCGGTGGTAAACAAGGGTGCTTTGTGTCGACCAATCACCTTATGGACTAACTTTTTAAGCTTAAAGCTCTTCAACTTGACAATATTATATTTTTTTTCTTTTTTAGTTGACAAGCATGTAATATGATTTAAGGTAGATATTGATTAATATTCGATACAGTATTTTAGACAAAAATGCATAAGTATCCAATTATATTGTGCATATATGAATGGGTGTTCTTTTTGATTTATTACGTACTTAAAAATAATTTTGTAACTAATAATTTTTTTAATTAAATCATAGCTTTATATTAAATTATATATTTTTATAAATGATTTAACCAAAATGTACTTTAACTAAATAATGCAAACCCTTTTCTTATCCTCTAAATAAGACGTACGTATATATACGTATCAGACATGTACGTACATGTACAGGAGCGACCGTCGATGTTACACGACTGATTTTTCACACGGTGTGAAACACATAAAAAAATTATTTTACAATAC